CTCATCATTATTCACTTCTTTAGAAATTATAACATTGTACCAGACTACTGTAACTACATACTTACTGAAATTTAAGACTGTTGAAGAATATTTATTGTCTATCACCATTACATAATCTACACATCAACTGGAAATGCATGCAGATGCACCTACTTTCAAATTGGCATTTTACTCTGTCTAAAGCAATAAAATTTTACTCAGTGGAAGAATACTGCTGTTAATCGGTTATTAACAACTATTGATATCCACCCTGGGATGGTTGTTCATTCAATTTGGGATTTGCAGGGTGAAGTTCTTCAATTGGCAGATCTCTGACCTCACTCTGAGAGGACTGACTAGTCGTGAAATTGGCATGCAAAATCGTATGGCCTATTGGCTCTGGGTTGAACACTTGTAGATACTTATAGATACTGAATTTAAATACACTGGAAATAGCAAATTGTATACATTGACTGGAAATGTACAAGTTTAATATTCAAAGAAGATTCTAAACCATTTTCACGTATGTTTTGTTCTAATTTTTATCAGATTACTTTGTTTACTTTACCCATACTTTGTTTCCATACTGACACCACCCAATTTTACTTGTCATTGGCAATCTGCCAGTGCCGCTTGTTAATTCACTATAGTGGGTGAGCTGGCAATGTGTCCAGCAAATGCACCCTACATTATATTTTTTTGAAAGAGAAGCAATTGCAAGTTAATGGTTAATTCATTAGGGCCATGCAGGGATGCCTGCCAAAACCTGCCTTCCAGGTTCAACATGTCTTAGGGGCTGATGACATGGGGAGTTTTCAGCCCGGGCTGTATTTCAACCCAGTTAACCGAGCTGAAATTGTTTCACGATTACATGACAAAGTTCAGCCTGGGGTGAGTTAGAATTTCAATTCAAACCGGGGTGAAATCTCAGCCCGGGCCGAAAGAATGAAGTCTCAAAATGGAGGTATTCTGCTTCTTTGGAGAATTTAAAATGTTGATCATATCTATTGACTTCTGCAAGAGTGTGGTTGCATTTAAAAGTAGAACAGACAGAAATAAAGCCACTTAAATGCTGTTTTTTCAACCTGGGTTGAATTTTCCTGTCGATTACATGGCAATTTTCAGCCCGGCCGACCGGGTTGAAATTTTCAGCCCGGTAGCTCCAACCGGGCTAAAACTTCAGCACCAGCTGAAATTTCTGTCATGCAATCATTTGCTGTGTTTTAATAGGATTTATCCTCAGGCCGGGCTGAAATTTCTTAATTTCAGGCCGGGAAACCAGGATGAAACTCAGCCATGCTGAAATATTCTCCATATAATCAGCTCCTTAACCAGGTTTGAATTGTTTGGTTTGATAAGGCCTGTATGATGACTATATCATGATAGCAGTGTAATTGTGAAAACCTAACCAACTAACCATAGAGGCATTTGTAAATAATATATTAGTTTTGGGAGTCATAAATTTGCCAACCCATTGTTATATTTTCAAACCTATGGTTCAATTAATCTGAATATGAAAACAGAGTTATTGCAGAAGATAAATGAATTGTATAGTTACAAATTTTATAAAATATATAATATCACTTTCTTTTCACTACTGTTTTACAGTAAGGCAAAGGCTTTACCACGTTTTGCATCGTTTTCATACTCGATAATATAATCTTTGCCACGGTTGAATTCACCCGACTTTTTTATATCGCATCCCACATTGTTTCCTATGATCGCAATGTACTTTTCACAACGTATAGCTTCTACAATGTCAATCAACTAAAGAAGTAAATGCACCTTTATATATAAACACATAGATACTTCGTACAATAGATTCCCCATGACCATGTGTTGTAAAGTGTTTTGAATTACTAGCTATATGCCTTGTAATTTGGCACTAAGGCCGCAAATTTGTCGCACACATACTGTAGCACTGAAAAGACTTCTCACTGTCGATTGGGCAGCAGAAAAATCAGTATTTAATACAACTGTTTTTCTTCCGCTAATAGTAACAGGGGCCTCGATGCTATAAAAATCTTCGTCTATAAATCTACGTATTCGCTCTCTCGTTCATCTTCCAAATGATACCGTCATTTCCGATCGTTGAAAACTCTCTTTGCTTTTATTATTACTGTTTTCAAATGTCTGCATTGATGAAGAAATCACTCCTCTTTCGATATCACTATCCATCGTTATTATAAATGCTCCAAAAGATACAAAAATGCTTTTATTATCAGTATTAACCCAACACTTTCAATATAATTTCCTACAAATGTCAACACAAGCGTCCCCCTATCTCGACACGTGACATTTATTTGCTTTGTGCTCAACATAGTTTGCCGCCCCCTTTGAAGTTTGCCGGCTAGCCTAACCATCCTCCTTCTATTAACCGTGCTTAAATGGAATGGATTTTAAGTTTGTTTCTCACTGGCTTTGGTCAGATAAGCAGAATATCCTTCTTCAACACATGCATAAAAACGAATTTTAGATTCTGACCAAATTTCTGGTTTTGGCAGAGTTAGAACGGCAGATTAAGTATGTGTGTGTTGTTTTCATTTTATAGCCTGGATCATAGATATCTTATATACACTAGATAGCACATCTCATTTAGTAAAATTGAAGGCAAGAATATTCCAGCGGTTACCCCCATTTGAATAGATGGTGGCCATGTTGGTCGTTCCCACTTGCTAATAAACGCTTAAAAACAACACTAACTTTCATTATTTGAATAGTTTTAAAACGTATTTGGAATAGGGTTAACTTAATGTTTAAGTCCCCTGTTTAAGAAATAGAGGGCATACAAACTTTCTCATTTCATGGGAACGACCCGAGACTGCAATCACGGCTTCAATTTTGGAATTGCAGAATAATTAGATGCACTATCTAGTGTATATAAGATATCTATGGCCTGGATCATAATTACATTTATGGATTCCTTATGAAGTAAGTGTTTCTGAACACACCCAGAAGTAATTGTCCGTAATTGGCTCAAGGCTTTAAAGGTCGAAAGCGTTTGTTTGTACACCTGAAGAGAGGTCGGTTTTTCTGACTGCAAATCCCACTCTGTGGAGCGTTTGGTTTAGTATCGCATACAGATCTGGCAAAACTGATTGAATATCGACCCATTTGAAGCAAGCGAACGAACCAGTGCACTTGACATCAGTTCCAGCAGCATTGCTAGCAGCCCACAGATTTCCACCTGTTTATCGATAATGGTAATGTACTGCAAAACATTGTATCGTATAGTGACTCTGACGAAGACGAACAGGGGATGGTTCAAAGCGACATCATTATTCAGCAGAAGTCACCGGAAAAATACCACAATGAAAGTTTAGTCGACTGTGAGGGGTGATTCAAGTCTTCTGGAAAGAAGTTTGATTCACTTCTCATTGGTGAGAATGAATGTGTGCCATTTATAAGGCACAGCTATAATAGACTTGATTGGGAAGCCAATGCAAGGGTACTGCTTAAAGGATACCGTATGTATGTACCTACCACTCCAAGATATTCTTGTCATATGTTCTTTTTTGGAGAATCGTCAATCAGTGATCCCAGTATCTTAATCCAGTCATTCATGCAGTATATTTCAGCAGACGAGAAAAGAATACTCGAGAAAAGTCTGTCTGGAGATTTGGATTTCGAGAATGAAGATGAGTTCAAGGAGCTTTTGGACGTGTTGAAGATGTACAACTGCCGATTACACGTCACTCAAGAAAATATTTGAAAAGTTATCCAAGAAATAGCACACAAAGAAATTATCCAAAAGGCACATTATGTCACAGATTGTTGGAAAGATATTGTCCAAACCCTTACAGAGACTTTTCCCAGTCCAAATTCCCTGACAGATATGTATGCGCGGGTGAAACCATCTGTTACCAAGTTTACAAAATGTATTCAGTCATTTGCACAGTCAGATGCGGAAAGAGGGTGTTTGGGGTTCCTCCGACTATATATCCGGGGATTGGACACTCCTGAAAAGCTAGCAATCTTTGTCCGATTCATCAGTGGTTCTGAACTGATGCTATTTGAAGGCATTCAAGTAACATTTACTGATTTGTCTGGCCTTGAAAGAAGACCGATTGCTTGTACATGCAATACATTACTGCAACTCCCAACTACATACCAATCATTCCCCGAGTTGCGAGAGGAATTCAATCATATTCTTGTGGCAGATATTATTTGATCGGTATGTCATGTATTCTTATTTAAAGTTAACATTCTTGCATGTTGTTTCTTTGTGACATACTTCCCTTGTATACTGTACGTATATCTATGTTCACAAGTATGCTAAATTTAATATTATGTAATCATTGAGTTATTTACTAGTTACCTACATTGTGTGTAATTAGAACTGGAAAACTACAACATTGATGCATGTCACCGCTTTGCATGAAGCCTTTACTATATGCATGTAATCATATAAGCAATGCATACATCCATTGCATGAGTATAAGATGTTCTAAAATCCCTTGGGTTTAGCTACTCGCTGCTAGAAAAATAAGTGCATGTATATAAGAACTATGTAGCCAGCTCTGTATAAGAACTTTATATATAATTTACTTGCAACTCTTAAATATATCTTTTTTTTTAAACTTCGTTATGCAAAGTATTTGACGCGTGACTCAGGAAAGACAATGGATGTCTATGTTAACTGTATGATAGCATAATTACAATTTTTGGGTACCAGAAATACAAGCGCCGTGTTATAAGGTCAATAAAGTCATTAGGATGTTGTTAAGAGAATTGTATAACGAACTGTTAAAGTTTACATATACATATTTAAATCTACAAAGTTAAAGTTGATATTTGTAAGACGGTAATAAAAGATAAATTAATATGTAGTCTGCTGTATTTTTATAACATTTACAAAATGTGATTGGTTAAATAATTAGTATAGCAAATAAGTGGATCATCACAAAGCTATGGGAAAAGGTCCTGTGTTTGGTTGATTATACAACAATTCACAAATTATGAAAGAACAAGTTGTAAAAACTGCTTAATGAAGTCAATCACAAAACACATTCATTTTTAGCTGTGTGTTTATGGTGGTACACTGTAAGGCATTCTTAGCTTTGTGTATGGAGGGGCATTAGAGACAAAAATATCATGATGCCATTATATCATTCCATTATATCGTGTTATCATGTCATTATGTCATGTTATCATGTCGTGTCATTATGTCGTGTTATCATGTCATCATGTCGTATCGTTATGCCATGTTATCATGTCATTATATCGTGTTATGTTGTTATGTCGTGTTATGTCATTATATCGTGTTATTATGTAGTTATGTAGTGTTATGTCATTATGTCCTGTTGTCATATCATTATGTCCAGTTGTCATATCATTATGTTGTGTTGTCATGTCATTATGTCTTGTTATATGTCATCATGTCGTAACTTGCCATGATATGTTGTAATTCATGTTGTAACTTGCCGCGATATATCCGTAATTCATGTCATAACTTGCCGCGATATGTTGTAATTCATGTTGTAACTTGCTGAAAATGGTTGCTGAAAACTCGTCATTGTTTTCGCGGGAAAAGACATCACTCACAGTCAAAATAGCGTCCTGGAACAAAAGTTGTTCTACAAACCAGTGATTAAAACGAGCGGCTATAAAATAGAGTAAACAACAAAGGAAAAGAGAATGCACAGTATTCCACTTGCAGCAAGAAACCGCATAGTAAGTAAAATAAATGTTGAGTATTTCGCAATCATAATTCTACTTAATTTTTTTTAAATATATTCAAATATGGTCAGAACAACCTAAAGAATTAAGAATACATTGCAGCGTTTAAAATACTTCCAAATTTATTGCACATTGGGCACCTATTTTAACAAAAGAATCGTATTATATTTCAATGAATGACTTCAACTTTGTCAAAGTCCATATCGTTTTCAGAAGAGAGGTCAGTAAATTTGGCCCACTCATGAGACTTGGAGCAAGTCTATGAATGGCTATATATAATATACTATTTCAATTTAAGTCAAGATTAAAGGTGTCCCTAGAAATTTATCCCATCGCCAAAATATTCCTAGGAGCCCCCCCCCCCCCCCCAAATTTGAATATTAAGGTTGCAATTCACAAACCAATTTTTGGAAATGAAAATTTCACATTGCAAATAGAACTCAGTCAGAC